GAGCAGTAAAGGCTATTCGTCCGGGCAATGAAAATTCCTCGTTTTATGGTTTCCTGCCTTGAGTGAGCAGATACTTACTTGTTGGATGACGCCTGTCAATTTCTTCCGGGAACCCTTCCTTAACTTATTTTTTGATTAAAAAAATCCTATAAAAAATAGTTATAGTATTTTATCTGTTATTAATTTATGGTTTATTAAATAATTTATTCATTTAAATGCTATCTTCTTATTTAATCTGATTTTATATTCGTTTTAGTTGATAAGCCTATTTACACAGATTAAGTTAGTCAGTTATTTATTTTCATGCTGTAAGCCCTTTAAACAAATTGAAAATGATTACAATCCTCAACAACCTCCTCAACACAAAGGGACGTGCATCCAAAACGGGACGCCCTTCTATTACCAAGCGAATGCTTTTATTGAGCACGCTCGTTTCCGGCCTGACACTTACCGCACAAGCGCAGCCGGAAGAAGCATCGTACTTATACGAAAAGTATAGTATGAAACATTATGCCACCTCCCAACAGATCAAGGGAGATGGTTATGCAATGGCTGGTACCATTTTCGACTATAATGGTGTTCCCGGCAACGGCGGTATTCACCTGCTGGTCGACCCAAGTCCGTTCACTACCAGCGTGGTTTATGACCATAAGGATTATGATGAACGCCTGGTAGGTCTACACTATTTTACACCCGAAGACATTGTGATGGTTACAAGTCTGGGTAACTTTACCGGACGTGGACCGGGAAATGGCATGCAGGTGTTACGGCACCCTCATTGCAAGCGCCAACTCATATTTGGCCCCCGCGGATCTGATTATTGGCCAATGGGTAGTTTAATGGATGCCAAGAATAAGATGTTGTACATCTGTGGTTATGTGACGGCTGCACAAAGAGCAGGTATAAGCCCTGATTACACCACCGCCAAACAAGCGTTTGTACTTAAGTATGATCTGGGATCCAGCAGCGTGGTAGACGTACACGTTTATAACTGGGCAGGGAACAGCCCATTGCGCAGGGATTATGATATGGCTCATCGTATGAAATTCCTGAAGGATGGCAACATCTGGGTTGGTGGTCTTTGTAACGGTGCAAAAGAATCTGCCATGATGAACATGGTGATTGACCCAAGCCTTAATTTGGTGAATGATAAGCCACTGAATACATGCTTTGTTGATGAAGGCCATTTGGCAGCCAGTTTTGATATCTCGGACGATCTGAACGGTAAGGGATATTCCTATATTTTCGGCAACTACTTCTATCCTAAATCCACCAGGGTAGGTATGTATCCGCAGCCCGGCAACTATAGTATCACCGCTGTAGAAGCAGGTACTTTAGAGCCCGTTGCAGGAGCAAAGAG